CATTCCTGGGTCCAGGTTTAGCATCTTACGAGAGAGAGCAACAAAACCAACCAGTGTCAGAAGAGACAGATACACTACAGGAGCAGGCAAGCAGCATTTGGAAATGACCCTGATGAAGGAGCTCTATATAGTAAAAAATACTCTGGAAAAGGGCAGTGAAAGGCTATTTTTAGTTCTTTCTGTGACATAAGATTAAGAAAGCAATGTAGAAAATGAACAGGGCAAAACCTGCAACTTCTATGAAGAAATATATCCAACCTAGTGTTTTCACTGGTGAAAATGAACCCTGCGAGACAGGACTGAGATTCAAAAATAAGAAATAAGACTAGTGCCTCAGAAATAAGATTAGTGCCTGCAGTTGCAGGGTTGCTGGCTGGTGTGACCCTACCAGGGACCGTCAGTCCTCAGATTTCCTCGGCTATGGAGCTGGTCAGGTTGAACAGAGATTTCCTCTCATTGCACAGTCAATTGCCTGTGAGAAACGTGGATTTACCCTTTGATGCATCCAAAATATGTCACTGGCCAAGACAGGGCAGCAGAGCACCCAGGCCCCAGGGGATGAAACGCCGACCCTCCTGATGCCATGGGCGGGTGGCCAAGATTTCAGCCTTGGTCTGCTCCCAGAGAGCACTTCCCACATAATGCTCCCTGCTTTAACAAAGCTGGATGGAGGCTGCCTTTGCTCTAGCTACACAGGCTGAGACCCTAACTAGGGGAAAAAAGAAATCTGGATAGCTGAAACATGATCTTGGAGATATGGTTTATTTGGCAGGAAAGAGGATGGAGTGCTACGGAGGTTGTGCTTGCAAAAAAAAAAGCTCAAATGAAAGACAGAAAAAAGAGGGGGTGGGAGGGAAAAGGAAGGAAGGATGAAATTTTCCTCCCTTTAGTCAGTACCATATCTACCCAGATATCTTTGGTTGGATTTTATGCCAAGGAAAAATTCATTTCTGGCCTCTTACAAGCTAAAAGGCACAGCAGAAAGTTACATCTGCAAAATGCTAGGCTCTAGTTATACTTCTGAAAAACATATTAAGTGTTTACAATATTTAGGCTGCAATCTATGTCTTGAGATATGAGATGGAAGATCTGAAAGCCAAGCAGATGATCTCCACAGATCATCAGTTCTGCATCTTGCCTCCCAAGAAAATAAAATGAGATTCAGTACCAGAGTGACTTCTTAAAAGAACTGGGAAAATAGGGGGGGGAAAAATCCCAGAATTAAATACTTCTAAGGGGATGAAAAGTATCCTAAAAGGATCCCAAATACCAGCCCTGTTGCTTTCCCTGGGACATGTGATTAGAGAAAAGCTCTCCTGTAGGTGAGATTTACAGCTGGCCTTGGAAGATGCTCGCCATGTCTCAGAGGGTGCCTGGCTGAGCACACTCTGCATGGTGGCCTTGAGGCGTGGAGGGAAGACGGAGCAGGTACTGCGCTTCATCCAGAGGTTGTGAGGCCAAAGGGAAGGGGGTGGAGAAAGGGTGTCTCTGCCATGCAATATTGTGCCAGGTCAGAGAGCCCTCCTGTGTCCCACGGAGCAGCAGGTCCACGCAGCCCCGTGCAGCACCCTGCAGCGAGAGGAGCTCAGGAGAAGTTGCTAACTTGGTGACATGGTGATGGCTTCGTGTTTCCATGTCACCTCCGCCTGGCATGGTGTTGGGTGATGGAGACATAGGCAAAGCATCACCTACCCATCGGCACTCATTGAGCCTGCGTTATACTGTTTCAGCTATGACTCCAGCAACAAAAAGAAAAAAAAAAGCAGCATAAACCAAAGCCCTGCCGTCACCCCGGATAAGTGTCTGCCAGCTCTGCCCGTGCTGCCCACCACTCTCTAGCCCCCACAGCCTCGCTATCCTCGCAGCTACAGCCCGAGGCAGACTGGAAGGAAGATATGATTTAAGGTCCAGCATACACGTAGATACATTGGACTGCCACAGCACAGAAAAAGCACGTTAATACCTAGAATGCTTCCCTCGATGGTGCCACGACATGGTACACACACGCACACACGTACATAGAAATCTACAGGTAATGCATGGGGATGGCGTGTTGGCAGTGATACAGACCTTGGCGATGGTTCGGGCTGCTGCTCTTTCCTTTAAACAGAAGCAATAGTACATTAGCATGGTGTCAGGTGGCAAAAGATGTTGCTGCTTCACTGTTAAAACATAACGAAAGGACAATACCAAACAGTACAACTAAGTGGAAGTTGTGGACAGAAGAAAGGGAAAGGAGCATTTAATTCCTGGAGTTTCTGGCCTGGACAGAAGATCACTGGAGACTCACACAACCTCTGAGAAGACACATACAACGCACAGGGTTGAAGAGTTTATCCCAACCCATCTGTGTGCCTATGCATGACTAAGACATCTGAAGGTCGTGTGATTTGTGTGAGCACAGGAGGACTTCTGTGGGCTCAGAGAGCGGCCCCCTTCATTTGGAAATGCACCTCCCTGAGTTGTTTCTGCAGATAGTGACGGATTTGAATGGCTCCTGTGACCCTGGTGCATTTGCTTTTCCTTCCCAGCCATTGGGACGGAGCTAATGTCAGATCCCTTGATGCATGGCTTCACTCCGCAGTGCTAATGCATGGTGCTGGGAGGGGGACATTGGTGGGAAGGAGTATGGACCCCTGCCCTGACATCCTGACACCCCAGGTGGGATTTCTGCCTCCAAAGCCTTTGGCAGCTACTTTGCCAACTAGTTGGCTAAGGCTACATGGAGGGAGTGGGACGCCACAATTTTTGTATGCGGTTTCCTACTGAGATCCCAAACCACTTGATTGCCCTGAAAAATCACTGACACTGAGGGCAAAGTGAGCTGAACACCTGCAAAAGGGTAGGCATAACACTGCAAGCCAAGCTAAGGCCACACTGAAAAAAATCTCACCTTCGCTGACCAGGCATCTGGGTGGCATTTCCCTCCAGCAATGAGGAAAACCTGCTCTGCCTTCAACTACTCTGATTCGCAGCTTCTTCACACTGGGAAATCACATTTAATCTGGGGCCCTGATGCAGCCTTGCCCCTGCAGCCCCACAAGAGATGGACAAGACTGTTTCTCAGCAGATATGGGTCTGCCTCTCCTAACACCAGATAGTCTAAGGGACAAATCAGACTGCAAGAAGACCTGGGCAGGAGGAGCTTGATTCCCTCTGAGCGTGATGCTGTACCAGCCCTGGTCCTGCCTCCACCCAGCAGTGACTGCTGAGATCTGCACAGACCCCCAGCCCTCTCCCTTAGGCTGAAGGAAGCAGCCTGGAGAGACTAAAAAAATACCCCTCCACCCTCTGCTCCTTGCTCAGACAAACTTGAAGCCCAGCCTTAATTACTAGCTCAAATACTCACATTTTAAAGTTTGCAGTCTGACCCATGGGTCTGCAGTTCTCTACTCTTTGCAGAGACACAGCCCAGGGCAGGTCCCACCCCACACCTCCCCCGCTGCCCACTGGCACAGCCAGCATCTCTCCATCCCTCCCGGGGTCTGCACACTCCCCATTCAGCAAATGGGGCAACCTTGCCTGCTTAAAAACCCAAGAATTACCCCTCCTGAGCAAACGTTTAAGCTGGAGGACTCCTGGTTTTCTGGGGCAATCGTGTATACCTCGCCACAGCAAATTTAGCAAAAATTTCTCACTACGACAACCTTGCCTGCTTTCAGGGGAGGTGAGGGAAGGCTGGAGGGAATGAGGAATTAATTAACACATCATAGGCCTGAGTCTCCTCTGAGGGTAGTCAGAGGAAAACTGGGAACACTACCTCAATCAGACCCTTTGAAAATACAACTTTGCATTTTCTGCTAAGCATTGTAACATTACTCCAGAGCCAAGTTAGGCTGAAGAAATTAATGTACGGCATGGGAGAGGGATGGGGAGGAGGTCACTGAACGACCCATGGGGGACCAGCTGCCAAAACCTCTCACATCTTCAAGGCTGTCCATATGCAAAAGGCAGGAAGGAAATAAACAAAAGAAAAGAAAGAAAGAAAAAAAAAAAACAAACCCAAAACAAAAAGAAAAAGGTTGCAAAGTGTGTGCTTTCCAAGCTCTCTTAACTCTGCTGCTAACCTGAATGTCAGTCCCGATTTGCTCTTCAGGTTCCTCAGGAGCTCCAGCTGGTTCAGAGGAGGGATGAGTCTACAGGGAGAAAATAAAGACCATTAATATCCAGGCAGAGCTGATTTCAGAGCCTCCTGTCTTGGAAACTTCCCCCGCTGCCCCATCCTTTCAACTAGAACCAGCTTTGTGCCACCAACTGCATCTGGGGGGACAGCTTGGCAAGGAAGGAGGGGGCTTTGGCTGCTGCTTCCAACAGTGTCCTAAGGCAGAGCGGTGGGGGAAGAGAGAGAGTGACAGCAAGAGAGAGAGAGAAACTTGTCTGCACCACCAGATTTTGAACCTCCCAAAAAACAAGCGGCTGCCAGGGTTTCTGAGCAGCATGGCGGTGTTTTGGCAGGAGAGCTGTTTCACCACCTGTCTAGCGGTTGGCATTGCTATGTTTGGGGGTCGGCTTCGGCTGTGTATTAGGTGGAGAGAAGCTCCAGTGTTGGAGGCAAATTGGAAAACTCAACCCTGCTCCTCTTGGGAATGTGGGGAGGCATGGGAAGGAGCAGCTTATGGGGCAGAGGACATAGGGATACGAAGCTAGGGAGCATCCCAGGAGAAACAGCAGTGAGCTCCAGGGTCAGGTTTAACCAATTCCTTACTGTCCATGTCAGGTTTTGACCCCAAATGAGGCAAAATCATGTATCGCTACCTCTTAGGAACCATGGGTTTCCTTCCTTTCTCAGGAAGAAAAAGAACCTGACAATGGGAATCCTGGTTAATAATTAAAAAAACCCCAATGAACAAACACTGTTGCCTATCCTGCTTTTGTGCTAAAAGCCATTGAATTAGCTCTCACATCCACTTTTGCTTTCTTCCCTCAGACCCTGGGAGACTGGGCCTTGCTCCATAAATATTTAATGTTGACATTCAGAGTCAGGTTTTCAACCAAGAAAGATGTGAGCTGGAGGTGTCGAGAAGAGGATGGACAACGCTGCATACAGTTGGGAAGAGCAGCATCTACTTAAGAGCGTGTTTGGGGACTCTGCATTTGGGGTCAAGGCCAACGGGGCTCAACCAATGGCTTCCTGCTGCAAACTCCTTTCTGGGCCACCAGCGTGCCCTTGTCAAACTGTCAAAGTGCCCAGAGGGTGCAAAGTCAGCACAGCAGCCGCCTCCGGTCACGCTTGTGACAAGGAGGGCGAGGATGCATCATGTCAGGGATGAAGGGGAGGATGGAGGCTGCTGGCGGGCTGGGGACAGGCTGCCTGCAGCTGCCCGTGTCTGTGCGGTTGGGGCCACAGCCCACAGAGCCACGACCTCAAGGCAGCGTATACTTATGGCTTTGCTGGAAAATGAGCCACATTGGTTTTAAAGAAAGCAAGAAGGACCTACTCAAACTGTCCCAAAACTGCAACTTAGGACTGGAAGAAAAGGGGTGCAAGTGCTTGCACTCCCCTAACAGAGTGCTCTCAGCTGAGGTGCTGTAAGAAATGGGGCTGTTGCTTACTGTAAAATAAAGGCAGAGATACTTATGCCCACAATTTTTCAGCCAATATGAGACCAATAGATTCCTCTAACTGAAAAAAAAAACCCAACCAAAAACTGGAAAAGCATCTCTTCTGCATGCACAAAATTCATCCTCAAAAGCACAGTTGTTCAGCAGAGCAGATTTGGTGTTCACAAGATTGAGGCAATCAGAAAATTTTCCAATCCTAAGTATGGAGAAAAGAATAAAAATAGGCCTGAAAATTTTGGCTCAGCTCCCCAGTCCAGCTCTGTTCGCTTCCATCCAGAGAAGAGCACATCTTGATCTGATGAATTAATGATCCTCTTCACTCAAGACGTCAGGAAGAAGCTGACCTTGGTGCAGTGGAGCAGTGCATGAGTGCTGGGCTGTCACCTCTGTTTAAACCCACCGTAGGGTTTGCAGATTTGTTCTAAGATGGGAGAAGGTGGTGCATAAAATCAAGCACAAAGTGTACTTAGCAGTTAATGAAGGGTGCACAACCGTTCTTCTTTGGCGAGTTAGTTTCTCAGGGAGATTCATACTCAGCAGAACACAGGACAACAGCTCCGTTTTCTCCAGCTAGGATCAGAAATCTGGGGCTCCCGCTGATGCAAGTCTCTGAGCTGAAGAGCCCATAAGCTCACTAGACTGAAGGATTCAGGATCCCAAAAGGAGCTCTTTCCTTTGCATTAGCCCGTAACACAAGGTTCGCACTGCGCTGAGGGTGGCAATCTCTGGGGCCACCACAGATGCTTCCATGCAAAGGTAAAGACACACAAGCAAACACAGAAATTCACCTTTTCTGTGGTAGGGTGATGGGCCCAATTACATGTGTGGTGGAAAAAATAATGTTTTACTGATAATTATTAAAAATGGGTGTAAACTTAGCTGTGTACTTGACTTGAAATTTAATCTGAATTGAATGCTCAGCCTAACCTGTCATTACAAGAGCAGCTTGGGGAACAGCTACTGCAATGCACGATTTCACCAGAATGACAAAGAAAAGGCAGGGCTCTGTATAGCACTTTAAATGAGCTTCGCTATAAAATGCTGGACAGAGGGCACCCTGCACTGGTGTGTGTCCCCAGGGGACAGGTGACGCAGGTGCCACTGTATCCTCCAGAGACATGGAGAAAGGACCTCCAGCTGGGGCATCTCACATTTTCTCTCTCTCCTCCTGGTCCGTGTGTCACTTGTTAGCAAGGGAAGCATGTTTTGGTTAAAGGGGAGCTAGCTGAGTCGTTCTGCACGCCACGGGAACACACACAGCTCATGCTACCCCCCACAGCAACACTTCCAAGTCAATGGCTGCTGCCAGGGGCC